TTTGGTTCAATTCCATCATCGCTGGAGTTCCGAATGCTCTCTGATTGTAGGTGAACTATAAATCCCAGCAACCACAACTCCCAAATGTCAAGATCTATTATCCCCAAACTCCACCAGTGTTTACATTTGGGCATATTGAGTATCCGTGCCAAGTTTTGTTCAGATCCATTATTGTTTGAGTCCACTAGATGTAGGTGAACTGCAACTCCAAAACTTTGTTCGTCCCCATTTTGAGGGGACTTCAACTCCCAAAAGTTCCAGCCAGCTTGACTCTCTGTCAGGAATTCTGGGAGCTGAAGTCCAAAAGCCTGATAGTCCCAAAGGTTGGAATTGCTGCCTTAGAAGATTGTGGGAAACCACAAAAACCCTACAGTGCCCTCTAGAGGACATGAGAACAATTCGACCTTGTATTTGGCCCATTGTAGATCCAAGAGATCAGGGAAAATACACAGACCAGTTAGATATGATCTCACTAACATTCCTAGCGAATATACAGTGGAAGTGAAGAACAGATTTGAAGGAATAGATTTAGTAAACAGAGTCCCAGAAGAACTATGGACAGAAGTCCGCGACATTGTTCAGGAGGCGGCAACAAAGTACGTCCCAAAGAAAAAGAAAACCAAGAAGGCAAATGGTTGTCTGCTGAGACACTGGAAGTAGCCCAAGAAAGGAGGAAAGCAAAAGGAAACAGGGATAAGGGGAGATATGCCCAGTTAAATGCGCAATTCCAGAGGTTAGCCAGAAGAGATAAGGAACTATTTTTAAATAAGGCAATGCATGGAAGTGGAAGAAGACAACAGAATAGGAAGGACAAGAGACCTCTTCCAGAAAATTAGAAACATTGGAGGTAAATTTCAGGCAAAAATTGGTATGATAAGAAACAAAGATGGCAGGGACCTAACAGAAGCTGAAGAGATCAAGAGAAGGTGGCGAGACTATACAGAAGATCTGTACAGGAAGGATAACAATATCGAGGATAGCTTTGACGGTGTGGTGAATGAATTAGAACCAGACATCCTGAGGAGTGAGGTTGAATGGGCCTTAAGAAGCATTGCTAACAACAAGGCAGCAGGAGATGACGGGATCCCAGCTGAACTGTTTAAAATCTTAAAAGATGATGCTGTCAAGGTGATGCATGCCATTTGCCAGCAAATATGGAAAACACAAGAATGGCCATCAGACTGGAAAAAATCAACTTATATCCCCATACCAAAAAAGGGAAATGCGAAAGACTGCTCAAACTTCCGTACAGGGGCCCTTATTTCTCATGCCAGTAAGGTAATGCTCAAGATCCTGCAAGGAAGACTCCAGCAATACATGGAGCGAGAGTTGCCAGATGTTCAAGCTGGGTTTAGAAAAGGTAGAGGAACGAGAGACCAAATTGCCAATATCCGCTGGATAATGGAGAAAGGCAGGGAGTTTCAGAAAAACATCTACTTCTGCTACATTGACTATTCTAAAGCCTTTGACTGTGTGGATCATAATAAATTGTGGCAAGTTCTTAGTGGGATGGGCATCCCAAGCCACCTTGTCTCTCTCCTGAGGAATCTGTACAAGGACCAAGTAGCAACAGTCAGAATTGACCATGGAACAACAGACTGGTTCAAGATTGGGAAAGGCGTACGGCAAGGCTGCATCCTCTCACCCAACCTTTTTAACTTGTATGCAGAACACATCATGCGATGTGCGGGGCTGGATGAATGCAAGGCTGGGGTTAAAATTGCTGGAAGAAACATTAACAACCTCAGATATGCAGATGACACCACTTTGATGGCCGAAAGCGAGGAGGAGCTGAGGAGCCTTCTAATCAAGGTGAAAGAAGAAAGCGCAAAAGCTGGGTTGCAGCTAAACATAAAAAAACCAAGATTATGGCAACAAGAATGATTGACAACTGGGAAATAGAGGGAGAAAATGTGGAGGCCGTGACAGACTTTGTATTTCTAGGTGCAAAGATTACTGCAGATGCAGACTGTGGCCAGGAAATCAGAAGACGCTTACTTCTTGGGAGGAGCGCAATGTCCAGTCTCGATAAAATAGTAAAGAGTAGAGACATCAGACTGGCAACAAAGATCCGCCTAGTCAAAGCCATGGTATTCCCTGTAGTAACCTACGGATGTGAGAGATGGACCTTAGGGAAGGCTGAGCGAAGGAAGATCGATGCTTTTGAGCTGTGGTGTTGGAGGAAAGTTCTGAGAGTGCCTTGGACTGCGAGAAGATCCAACCAGTCCATCCTCCAGGAAATAAAGCCTGACTGCTCATTGGAGGGAAGGATATTAAAGGCAAAGATGAAGTACTTTGGCCACATCATGAGAAGAAAGGAAAGCTTAGAGAAGACAATGATGCTGGGGAAATGGAAGGTAAAAGGAAGAGGGGCCGACCAAGGGCAAGATGGATGGATGGCATCCTTGAAGTGACTGGACTGACCTTGAAGGAGCTGGGGGTGGTGACGGCCGACAGGGAGCTCTGGAGTGGGCTGGTCCATGAGGTCATGAAAAGTCGGAGACGACTGAACGAATGAACAACAACAACAAGATCCAAGGCAGTGTTGCAGCGAACATTAATATAGTTCCCCATGTTGTGGTGACCCACAACCATAAAATTGCTTTTGTTGCTACGTCATAACTGGAATTTTGCTACTGTTACGAATCGTCATGTAAATATCTGATATGCAGGATGGATTTTCATTCACTGGGCCAAATTTGGCACAAATACCCAATATGCCCACGTTTGAATACTGGGGGTTGGGGGCCGGGTTGAATCTGTCATTTGGGAGTTGTAGTTGCTGGGATTTATAGTTTACCTAAAATCAAATACCATTCTGAACCCCAACAATGATATAATTGGAATCAAAACAATGATAGATCTTGACCAAATTTGGCACGGATACTCAATATGCCCAAATGTGAACACTGGTGGAGTTTGGGGAAAATAGACCTTGACATTTGGGAGTTGATGTTGCTGGGATTTATAGTTTACTTGCAATCAAAGAGCATTCTGAACACCACCAAATGCAATATAACCAAACTTGGCACATAGAACTCCCATGACCAACAGAAAATACTGGAAGGGTTTGGTGGAGTTTTGGAGTTGTAGTTTTGGAGTTGTAGTTCACCTACATCCAGAGAGCACTGTGGAATCAAAACAATGATAGATCTATTGTCGAAGGCTTTCATGGCCGGAATCACTGGGTTGTTGTAGGTTTTTCGGGCTGTATGGCCATGGTCTAGAGGCATTCTCTCCTGACGTTTCACCTGCATCTATGGCAAGCATCCTCAGAGGTAGTGAGGTCTGTTGGAACTAGGAAAAAGGGTTTATATATCTGTGGAATGACCAGGGTGAGACAAAGGACTCTTGTCTGCTGAGTCAAGGTGGTCAGTTGAAACATTCACACCTAGCTCCAGCAGACAAGAGTCCTTTGTCTCACCTGTGGTCATTCCACAGATATATAAACCCTTTTTCCTAGTTCCAACAGACCTCACTATCTCTGAGGATGCTTGCCATAGATGCAAGTAAAACGTCAGGAGAGAATGCCTCTAGACCAGTGGTTCTCAACCTTCCTAATGCCATGACCCCTTCATACAGTCCCTCATGTTGTGGTGACCCCCAACCATAATATTGTTTTTTGCTACTTCATAACAGTCATTTTACTACTGTTATAAATCATAATGGAAATATCTGATATGCAGGATGCATTTTCATTCACTGGACCAAACTGGGCACAAATACCCAATACACCCAAATGTGAATGCTAGTGGGGTTGGGGGAGGATTGATTTTGTAATTTGGGAGTTGTAGTTGCTGGGATTTATAGTTCACTTATAATCAAAGAGCATTCTGAACTCTACCAGCAATGGATTTGAACCAAACTTGGCTCCCATGACCAATGGAAAACACTGGAAGGGTTTGATGGGCATTGACCTTGAGTTGGGAGTTGTAGTTCACCTATATCCAGAGAGCACTGTGGACTCATGCAATGGTGGATCTGGACCAAACTTGGCATGAATACTCAATATGCAAATGTGAACACTGGTGGAGTTTGGGGAAAATAGACCTTGACATTTGGGAGTTGTAGTTGCTGGGATTTATAGTTTACCTACAATCAAATACCATTCTGAACCCCAACAATGATATAATTGAAATCAAAACAATGATACATCTAGACCAAATTTGGCACGGATACTCAATATGTCCAAATGTGAACACTGGTAGACTTTGGGGGAAATAGACCTTGACATTTGGGAGTTGTAGTTGCTGGGCTTTATAGTTCACCTACAATCAAAAAGCATTCTGAATCCCACCAATGATAGAATAGGGCCAAACTTCCCACACAGAACCCCCAAGACCAACAGAAAATACTGTGTTTTCAGATGGTCTTTGGTGACCCTTCTGACACCCCCCCCCCCCCGGGGTCCTGACCCCCAGGTTGAGAAACCCTGATCCAAGGTAAGCATTTTTCCTACAGGTAGTAAGCTCAATTTCTTGTTAGGAAACGGCTCCTTCAGCCCAAATCATGGATCAGTTGGATCGAAAGGTGAACATACCAAAGGTGGAGTTTGGGGAAAATAGACCTTGTCATTTGGGAATTGAAGTTGTTGGAATTTATAGTTCACCTACAATCAAAGAGCATTCTGAACTACACCAACAATAATTGAATCAAACTTGGCACATAGAACTCCCATGACCAACAGAAAATACTGGAAGGGTTTGGTGGGCATTGACCTTGAGTTTTGGAGTTGTAGTTCACCTACATCCAGAGAGCACTGTGGACTCAAACAATGATAGATCTAGACCAAACTTGGCACAGATACTCAAAATGCTCAAATGTGAACCATGGTGGAGTTAGGGAAAAATAGACCTTGTTGTGTGTTTCCTAGCCTTGGAGAAGAGAGACTAAACATGCAGAAGGATATGTTTTCTTAAGGAATGCCCCCTGTTATGTCTCCAAGCTTCCCATCCAACTAACATGCCTGCTTTCCTTTGTTTCTTTTCTCCCCTTTCCAGGGAACGACTCCATTTTCCATGACATCGACAGCGATACCTCTTTAACCAGCTTGAGCGATTGTTTCCTGGCCTCCTCGGAAGTAAACTCCATGCAGGCCAGGGTAGGCAACCCTATTGACAGGCTGTACTCTATGCAGAGTTCGTACTTTGCTTCATGAAACCCAAGGGAAGCAAACGGAAGCAAGCAAAACACAACAAGAGACCCCCATTCCCCAAAAAAACAAAACACTGATTGTCACGAGAAACTTTCCCCGCAACCTCGTTCCTCAACCGAGACTCTTACAGCCATATTTTCTTCTGCTCTTCCTTCGCACTGACTTTGGGCACTGTGTTGACAGGAGCATCAAATTGAGGGAGACTCTAGTAAAGGCGACGCAAACGCACATGCATCCCGTCGGAAGGTACAGAACTGGCACTCCGAAACGATACCGCCGCATTCGGGTCAAGGAGCGATACCGAGATCGAAAGAAGCACCCAACTCAACCTCTCCAAGAAGTCCTCTATTTGATGTCTTCTTGCAAAAGAAGTGGGAATTTTCGGAGATAAAATGCCTTGGGGATCGTTTTCCAATCTGTGGACATTCAATGACCGCCATTTTGTTTTTAGCTAATGTTAGGAAAGGACTTGGAGAAACTAGAGAATGCCCTCCTTGCTCTTTCTCACCTTCCGTTGTGAACCAATGGGACCTCGGAACTGCGAAATATCGAAACGTAGCTGCGACTTCCAAGCGAGCGTCCCCATTTTTGGTATTATTTGCCCCCCATAATTGACCCTCTCCAACAAATAGTTGAACCCCCTTGTACTGTATGGCGAGGGAGAGGGGTGGGGAGACAGCTTGAAGACTTTTGGGAGGATAGAGAGAGAGAAAACAGTCATGTTATAATAATTATTATCGTATTTAATTAAAGAAAGAACTAGAAAGATGCATGAGAAGGGAGTATGGCACAACAATGATTCCGAGATACACAACTTTTCCTTCGTGTGAACATAAAATTGTAACTTTCCCCAAAAACTCACTGATCCGTTGCCAAGTTTCATATCTCCCCCTCTCCTCCCCCTTTGATTGGCAGTCATCTGTTGGCCATTCCCTTCTGTTTATACCCATCGGTGAGAACTACACTACACACGGTTGTCCTGGTATGAATGCATCAGGAAAGTCTTTCATTCCTATTTCTTTCCCTCACTTGGAAAAAAATTCCTTGTGCCCCTTGAGGGTCTTCTGAAATGTCAATCAAGTAGCTACGAATAAAACAAGATCTTATGGGATACCTTGGCTCCCCACCACCCACAGCCTACATCCTCATGGAATCCCATCATAAACTGGTTCCAGATTTGCAAACAGTTACTTGTTGAGATGAAGGGTATAGTGTTTACTTCACAAATCTATGCAGGTTTACTGGGAAACGTGTCCCACTGAGTCCTTTCAAGAAGGGGCATATGTTTTTATATGATGGATGGGTTCCACCACCCATCCCCACCATGAGTTCCATCAAATGTTTTGGTCCACAACTCCTACCAGCCCTGAGATGATCAATGGTGAAGAATGAGTTAAATTGTAGTCCCAAGTTTCCATTGGATGTAGGGATGTCGTCCAACTTGTGTGAGTTTACCGAGGGATTGGATAAATCTTATAACGGGGAAAGTTGTGAAAGAAATTCACGGGAAATAGAATGATTTCATGGGTGTTAATTAGACAACAAATTGTTGACCTTAAGATCAGTTCAGGCAACGCTGCGTTAGAGTGAGAAGCTAAGCCTGAGTTCTCTCATTCCTGGTTCAAGTCAAGCTTTGATTTTGAATTTAATATGTCCTGGAAGTTTTCTAATAATGGGTACTTGGGGTTTTGTTTTTGTTTTTTTCATGTCAGCAGTGACTTGAGAACATACTGCAAGTCATTTCTGGTGTGAGAGAATTGGCTGTCTGCAAAGACATTGCCCAGGGGACACCCGGCTGTCTTTCCATCCTGTGGGAGGCTTCTCTCATGTCCCCGCTTGGGAATCTGAGGCTGACAGATGGGAACTCACTCCATCTCACGGATTCGAACTGCCAACCTTCCGGTCAGCAATTCAGCCAACACAAGGTTTTAACCCACTGCACCACCGTGGCTTCCAATACTTAATAGCAATGACAGCTGAACATTGCTCAAGTGCTGGAAGTAATATATATCTTGGTATCAGTTGTGGGAGTACATAAGTGAAAAGATGCTACTGCACCAACATCCTACTGCTGAGCTGTCTCAGCAATGTGATATCTGCATATGACAGGAACCATTATTTATTCTCAATGGTTTCCATCAATACCTTGAGGGGCATATATCCAGGTTTGGCTAAGCAACCCCCCTTTGCTCTTCTTGCCATGGATTCAAGAAGGTATGGGGGACTAATGAATGAAGGAGAAAAAAAATGGAGAAAATGGTATTGGGGAGAGGACTACAACCCACCATTCATACCATGGTTCAACCTGATGGTCTTAGAAGAGCTTCCACACTGTTATCAGTTGAAGGCCACTATCTACCCATACTTTCAAACCCTGATGTAAGGAACATTCTAGTTCAGAAACTCATGGATACCATGAGATGTACATCCACACAAATGACAACCTAGAAATGAAACTTATATTTCTGTTTCAGAGGGTAGCACAATATTTGGGAAAGAACTACAACCCACCGTTCATACCATAGTTCCAACCTGATGGTCTTAGAAGAGTTTCCACACTGTAATCAGTTGAAGGTGACCATGTAACCATACTTTCAAACCCTGATGTAAGGAACATTCTAGTTCAGAAACTCTTGAATACCATAAGATGCGCATCCACACAAATGACAACCTAGTCCTGAAACTTATATTTCTATTTCAGAGGGTAGCACCATATTTGGGAAAGGGCTACAACCCACCATTCATACCATAGTTCCAACCTGATGGTCTTAGAAGAGCTTCCACACTGTAATCATTTGAAGACCACTATCTTTCATTTGAAGAGCTTCCACGCTGTAATCAGTTGAAGGTGACCATCTACCCATACTTTCAAACCCTGATGTAAGGAGCATTCTAGTTTGGAAACTCGTGGATACCATGAGATGCACATCTACACAAATGACAACCTAGCCCTAAAACTTATATTTCTATTTCAGAGGGTAGCACAATATTTGGGAAAGGACTACAACCCACCATTCATACCATGTTTCCAACCTGATGGTCTTAGATGAGCTTCTGACCATCTACCCATACTTTCAAACCCTGACGTAAGGAACATTCTAGTTCAGTAACTCGTGGATACCATAAGATGCACATCCACACAAATGACAACCTAGTCATGAAAACTTATATTTCTATTTAGAAGGTAACACAAAATCACAATCCACTGGGCACAAAACACAATTTCCACTCTTCGTGGTGGAAAATTATTTTCTTTGTTGACTTATCTTGATGGCTCAAGACATATTTTCACACCGAAACTGTCCAAGTGTTGGGTTGCTGTGAGTTTTCCGGGCTGTATGGCCATGTTCCAGAAGCATTCTCTCTTGATGTTTCACCCATATCTATGACACACATCCTCAGATGTTGTGAGGTTCTCTCATGACATTTCACCCACATCTAAGAGGTAAACCTCACAACCTCTGATGTTGGTGAAATGTCAGGAGAGAATGCTTATGGAACATGGCCATACATCCCAGAAAACTCACAGCAACCCAATAATTCCAGCCATGAAAGCCTTCAACAACACATTGTCCAAGTGTTCCTCACAGCTCTACTCCAAGTATACTTGAACGATGTCTCTCAGCATTCCTTGCCATTGACCAAGCTGGAAACATTTGAGGTCCTCAACATCTGGATGGCTACACATTCTCCAGTGGTAGTCCTCAAACGTTGGCTCTCCGGGTGTTTAGGGCTTCTCAGAATCCCACACTGGCTGAGACTTCTAGGAGCTGAAGTCCAAAGGACTTAGAGGACCAACATCTGAGAACCATAGCATACGTTGACTGTGGTTCTATTGTGAAAGCAGAATGACGCCCTACAGGCCTGCCTTTCCTTGGTGCTTGTGCTTTTTAGGCAGAGATAAATGTCACTCTTATTTGTGGTATGGATTACCCTCTGGGAGCATAATCATTGTGCAAGTTTAACCTGAGACCTTCCAGGTCAAAGGTTCTGAAGCAAACCCTTGACCTTCTCTTGATTTAGGATTTATTCTTCTACTGTCAAGGGAGGTGCCAACAGACAAGCCAAAGCAATACAGACAGCAACAAAGCAAGCAGGTAGGAATATCTAACAATAACGTTGATCGATATCTTTGTAATGTCATCAATGGAAAAAATGAACCCTATATTGGATGCTGAAGGTTATGAGACCATTCCTTGTGACAACCGTTCCCATTAGTACATGAACCCATCTTTCAAATAAGACAGGTTATAGCCTTTCAATCATGTTTGTGTGGCTAAAAATAATGAACCATTAACTCAAAGCAACAATTACACATGCAATTTTTCGAAGTCGCATTGTTTAGGCACTGAATGATCTCACTTTGGGTCCCACCATACCATTGAGCTGCATGGAGGACCTTTTTCCATGGCTCTTCTTCTCCTGATGGAATTATGAGTGGAAACCCTTCCCAAGAAGAATAGAATAGCTTCAATTGCTTCATCTCCAAACTTTACATTGAATCATTCTGGGTAGAAAAACAAGTGTTTTTCTGCACAAAAATATGTTTCTTGACAGGAAACACAGTTTCCTTACTTACTTAGGTGATCCCTCATTGTCTGAGTATGATGGCCTTCCAAGTGTAGTGTCCTGGTGGTGGATACGTAAGTGACGATAGAGCCCTATTCTTGACCTGCATGTTCTTCCACGGTGAAGACATCGGTTTCCAGGTAGAAGGTGGTCCTGGTCAGGGTTGGCTTGACATGCCTTCTTCTTGGCATGTTTCTCCCTTTCGCCCTCCATTTGTGCCTCTTTGAATTCCACAGCACTGCTGGTCACAGCTGACCTCCAGTTAGAGGGCTCAAGGGTTCCCAGTTCTCTCTTGTGTATTGCTATGTTATTGTTTTATTGAGGGCTTTGGCCTTTATAAGCCACATCGAGTCCTTCGGGAGATGCTAGCGGGGTACAAATATGATGGTGATCGGACATTCAGGCAACGTGGCCAGTCCAGTGGAGTTGATGGCAGAGGAGCATTGCTTCAATGCTGGTGGTCTTTGCTTCTCCTTCCAGTGCGCTGACATTTGTCTGCTTATCATTAATAATAATGATGGAATCATTCCAGGAGTTGTATGTGACGTCTGTAGACAGTCCACGTTTCGCAGGTGTAGAGCAGGGTTGGGAGGACAATGGCTTTATAAACAAGCACCTTGGTCTCCCTATGGATGTCCCGGTCCTCAAACACTCTCTGCTTCATTCAGAAAAAGCTGCACTCACAGAGCTCAGGCGGTACTGTATTTCAGTGTCAATGTTGACTTTTGTGGAGAGGTGGCTGCCAAGGGAACGGAAATGGTCAACATTTTCTAATGTTACACCATAAGCTGTATTTCTGGCATTGCAGAGGGAAACATAAAGGCAGGATTGTACAGACAGAACACGCTTTCACAAGTTACCACTTGTACTTCTACACTGGTCAAAGGATAGTTGAATGTCTTCCTTGAGAATGGTTTTGACCAATTTGAACAGATGTATCAACCATTCAAGAAAGAGTTGAACACTTCCACAAATGGTTTGTATGCCTTACAAAATTCAGAAATCAAAACAGATGTGTTGAAGGAAGTGGTCATTCCACACTAATTCCCAAATCGAAATTGGTTGTTGTGAGGTGGATTTGGGTGAGATGGTTTTCAGAGGGAACCATATTCAGAAATGGATTTGGAGGTCAACTCCACCTGCAAGGGGCGGACATGGTCAACTCCACCTCCAAGGGGCGGACATGGTCAAGTCCACCTCCAAGGGGTTTCCCATTGAAATGAATGGATGTGCTCTCCGGGAGTTCCCATTCCTTTCCATGAAAGTCACTTAGGAGGACTGGAATTTATGGAAACTAACAAGGAAGTGAATACGAGGTGACCTATGGCTTTGCAACGTTGGCCACCAATACTTTTGGTTGGGCTTGTAGGTCAACCTGCAATGGAGGAGGAACCCTTTGCTCAATGGATTATCTTGACCTTCCTGAGTTCACAGCTAGTAGTGAGAATTTGAGCAGCTAACTTGGAATGGAATTCCCTTCTGATTAAATACAAATAAAATAGGAATGATTTGTCTCCCTCCCTCATTTCCTTTAGCTGTGTA